TTTATATTGTTTTATCGACGGATTGTACAGGTTCGAGTAGCAACGGGCTTCTTCACACAGCCTGCGCATGTGCAGTGGCCTACTGACACAAAAAATGGGAGGCACACGGATGTCCGCTCAGAGCCTCCTCGCACACTCTCCGATGACGATTTTTACGTCACGCGCACCATAGCGGACACTAGCGGACTAGCGCACGCGGAAAGTATAACACAGGCTTTAGAATGTCTTAGATGTCATACACCGATCGGTCTGCACACGCAAACAAAGCCAAAACCTAGATATTTTAGGCAATATAGAAATCCTGGCCAGGACGCGTCCTGGGAAAATGGCACGTATGGTCACCCTAGGGTACTAGAAGGTGCTAAACACACTCAAACGGAATCAATAGCACCCTCGGTTAAAGCTGTAATAATGGCATTTCTTCGCAGATTTGGCAAACTATCCATTGCGTTATGGTTTGCGCTCTGGAGATCGGTTTCTATTTCAACGTGTTTTTGCAGCGTTGAGCATTGTAGCCAATCACAGACATATCTGTTGATTTCTTGAACGCAACAGCCAATCAGAGGCATTTAAGTTAGAATCCACTCACTGCTCAGATCGCCAGAGTTTTTGTTTAGGTGTTGTGTTCAGCACGAATCATCTCATTATAACAGTGTAGATGTGATGTAAATAAGAGATTCATTGTGCATCGTAGAGAACTTCACTGATTATAACGTAACTTTGTGAGATTGCGATGAACTAAGATGAGTGACAGCTTTTTAGTGATTATAAATGGAGCAAGCAGCAATGGACAGCTTCGATTTGAGGAGTTACATGAATGCAGTGTTTGTTTTATGTCACTGAGGGAAATAAAAGTTATAGCTCCTTAAAGACTGACCCACAGCATGCCAGCACTACTGAAATAGACCATCATCCGTATTAGGAAACTCACGCCAATAAAAATATGAGTGACTGTGCAGGGGCTGTCTGTTTATTTTCAGTTTCTTTAGCATAAAAATCCTTCATGCTGTGCGTCAGTTTGCCATAGCTGAGCTGGCGAGAATGACGTGAATGAGAGGAGAGAACAGACAGCTGTCTGACTTGTGCTAGAAATTATGATTTGTGCATGCAATGACGGAGCTCTTGAAGAGAGATTTTCTTGAAGTGTCTACATTTGAAATTTGAATTTTGAACTGTATTTTTTTTATAGACAGATAATAAAGAAACCTTTATTTTTATATATATATATATATATATATATATAAAGCTGTGTAGTGTATTCCAGCCTTTAGAAGATAGAGTAGCTCACTAGGTTTCAAAACAGCTGTTGTGTTCTGTGACATTAACAGTTTTATTTCTCCTTCCTCTTTCAGCACTCAGGCCGTGAGGATCACAGATGATCGCTTCCGTCACCCAGATTGCTACACCTGTACAGAATGCGGGCTCAACCTAAAGATGCGCGGCCACTTCTGGGTGGAGGACAAAATGTACTGCGAGAAACACGCCAGAGAAAGATACCAGGGTACCGGCAGTAACTATCATTACGTCGTGTCCCCAAACCACTGAGACGCCCGAGCAGCCGCCCTCCTGACGCCACCTCCAACTCCTCTGATTAGCTGCGAGCATAGAGAGGAGAAGATGCTGATGTCATTGATACGTTGTCCAATGGCAGCCAAATAGAGCGTTTGGCGTAATGTCACTTGAAGCTTTGGGACCTAGCGCAATTGTGTCCTCTTCTCCAGTTATTATACACCCCTTGAATAGAGACTATAAGCTTTGATCTAATGGATTTAGAAGGGAGCGTCTCTGTTAGAGCGTGCTATTTCTATACAGTTGAATTTCTACATTTGCCTGCCAGTTCCACATGTTGTATTATGCTTTGAAAACTGCTTGTTTTTCAATAGACATTTAACTTGGGTTTATCTTGAATAGTTTGTATTATTATTATTTTTTTGGCTGAAATTTGTAGAGCTTTTCCATACCGAGACTCGAATGGTGAGATGCATCAAGTGGGCATCATCAGCGCTAATGCACACAGGACTGGTTTCCTTAGTGTATTTGTGTGTAAATAGTTGCAAACAACTTCATTGATTTCAGTTTGCACTTGTTAATGAAGGGTCTAATGATTACTTGGAAGTGATTCTTAGTTTGATGTATATTTCTCCCTTCATAAAAAGAAATTATCCACAACAATTCCTCCATCCACACAGAAGCACGCATTTAGATATCTGCATAGTTTATTTGCCATATACTTTGTATTAAATAAGGAATATCTAAGAAATTATGATATTTGTGTGTAAATATGTTTATTTTTCACCTTAAACTGTATGTGGACTGAGCGGAGGGTTTCGCACGTACTTGTTCGTGTTCAGGGTTGCATGTTTCATTTTGACTGTATTGTGTGTTTTTGGGTGAGAGATGTTTGATCACGCTCAGATACACTGTTGTTTGCTTTGAATGCAAGAGAAAGGAGTATCAGAGCGAACGATTTGAAACATTTGTGGATAAAATGTCAAATGAATCGTGAATCCTCACATTGTGTTTGTAGGGTTGCCTCTCTTTACCTTTTCCGTTTCAAATAAAAAAGCTTTCTGATTATCAGTGGATATTTGGATGAATTGCTTTTGTCTGTTTTGCTGTATTACGGTATTTTGGTTAAGTCAATTATCAATTTGCCCATTTTGTTTGATTCGTATCAAAGCATTTTTATAGTTAAGGTACTTCATTTACTCACCCTGAAGCTCTTTCTTCTTTTAAACACAAAAATATATTTTGAAGAAGCTGGGTAACCAAACAGTTAATGACTTCCACAGTATATATTTTTCCCCAGAAGAAATTCAGGGTAAGTAAATGACAGAAATTTCATTTTTGAGTGAACTACACCTTTAAGTGCAGTCCACTGCATATATGGCAAACTGGAAGCTCAGAGCATGATAGATGAACTTTTGGAAGGTACAGCATGTTAAAAACATTTTATCATTTGTCAACAACTGTATACATAGCCAAATGAGCTAAAAGGAATGAGAATACGGGGTAAATTATGTGTAATGATGGACACTTTGAAAACACTGCTTCGTGAAGCTTAGAAACCATGCAAATGATTTGCATCCAGTATCGTCCAGTAAGTCACATGATTTCAGTAAATGAAGCTTAGTTTCACCATAACTGTTTTGAAATCTTTCGGAATTTCAGTGGTTGACACTAAAGGACAATGATCTACAGTGGTGTTTAAAAAAAAAAAAGCAGTAGGCCTACAACATCAGTAACCTGATGATCCACTGTTATTATTAGTATAGTGAAATTTCTGCAATGCAATTTACTTGTAGTAGTGTAATAGAAAAGCAACATACCCAACTGTCATCAAATGCACACTGCTTGTTCTGAGTAACTGACTCGTTCATTGAAAAGGTCGTGTTCGAAATAACAGCAGTGTGGAGTTTGCATGGTGCAAAAATCATGGTATGGGGATGTTTTTCATGCTATGGTGGGCCTTTTTATCGTGTACCAGGGATCATGGATCCGTTTGAATACATCAAAATACTTGAATATATCATGTTGCCCTGTGTTGAAGAGGAAATGCCCCCCGGAATAGGTGTTTCAACAAGACAATGTTGACCCCAAACTCATGAGTAAGCGAGCAACATCTTGGTTTTAGACTAAAAGGATTGAGGTAATGGAGTGGCCAGCTCAATCCTCTGGCCTCAACCCCATTGAAAACTTGTGGGGTGACATTAAAAATGCAGTTTCTGAAGCAAAACCCAAAAATTCACAGGAACTATATGTAGTTAGGTGCCAGAAGTTGGCTGACTCCATGCAATGTAGATGTGCAACAGTTATAAAAAAGAATGGCTATGCAAATAAACATTGCTAAATATTTTTTGACCATATGAATATACATTTTCTTTGCTTCCTGTCAAAGAATAATGCAGACTTGAAAATGCTTTCATTTGGAATTGCATGTATGTTTCCATTACATTTAAAATATGGAAATAAAAGCTTTAAAAATATTTGAACTTTATATACATTTATTAACACACTGCTATTTATTTGAACACAACATGTCAACCCATAGGCTATGTTTTTTTTATTTTTACCTGATCTCAGATCAAGGTTTGTAATGATTTTTAATTATACATTTGTGTAATAAAGAGAAAAGGCTGTAGTTATTAGTCTGGCCTGATTGACATAAAACATAGAACAAAGAAAACAATCCATACATAATAATAAAATAGCATAATCACCTAAAGACATTTCATATTTAATGTTATTAGATGATTTGCTAATTGCATAGATTACACTCTCAATAAACATTTGCAATTGGCTTGTAAAAAGTGTCTTTTATGAATGTTTGGGCTAAGCTTTCGTTGCATTTACACCGTACTGACCAGCGTGTGGCGTTTCGAGGGCTTCGAAAAAGTGATTCATTTTGCGAAGAAATTAATTCAAAATTCGTTAATTCGACGCGACCAAAAGAAGCGGTAACACTATAGCAGACAAAAGTTTTTTCCTCGCTAGAAAGAGCGCAAGAAAACAGATACCGAGCTCGCTTTACTTGACGGGTAACGTTAAACGCATAGCACGGTTACACCGCGGTGGCTAAATCTGGCTAAAGTTCTTTGCCTGTGATTCTCGCTTTCACATTCAAGTCTTCCTGCTTTGACGGTAGACGCCAGAACCAATGATTTCAGTAAACATTTCTCTCTTCTTGTATGGCCTTCACTGTTCTGCCTAAACAAACCGATTTTTTTTTTCTCAGGTGCGCATGGCGGAGTTGAACACATGAGGGTAAGTAGTTTTTTTTGTTTGTTTCCTTTCATATTCCGCCTGGAAAGCAGCTTTTTATTTAGTAATTTATTTTGGGATGTTGTAGGAACCATTTTAAATTTGTAAATGTTTTATTTTGTATGTTTTGCAGCTGTACAGAAGATAACAATTAAGGCCAACATTTACCGTTCATTCTGCTGTTTAAAAATATAAAGCTAAAAAAGATCCTATTTTAAGATAAGATGGTAAAATTATGGGACAGGGTGCAGAGGTTTTTATATGTTCAAAAGAGAGGAGGAAATTTGTTCAACAAAACATTGAAAAAGCCTAACAGCACCTACAGATATCGTGAAGACGACAAAATGTCTTTCAGTGATTTTCTTTTTGACCGCTAGAGGGCAGTAGAGATGTTTTCTTCCAGTTACCATGGTTGGCTGGTTCTCCGTCAATCAGTACCAGCTATCTGCAAACAATGAACCAAGCCATTAGGAGGTCATTAGAAAAGAAAACTAAATTTGTCTTGCAATGCATGTTTAGTAGTTTAGTAGTGTATTTTAGTAGTGCGGATGCCAGTTTTCTTTCACTGGTAAAGAAATATGTATGATATGACATCCAAGTAGTACAATGGAAACAAGTCAAACATGAGGGCATTCTCTCAGCCTTATGAATCATTTTAGCTACAGCAATGGAGATTTTAAATCAGTCTATTCAGTTCATTTAAGACTTACTCTCTCATAAAACTAGGCGACCCAGCATAAATAACCGGTGCCGGAGGAATTGACATTGTTTGTCGGAGATGAATGACCTGCCTGTGCTGTTTGATATTTTTGGACATAGGTTTCTCCCAGCAATCAGTTAAGGTCACGGGTTGTTATCTCTGGTGTTTTGTTCATGTGTGTGAGGTCATGCTTGTTTCCAGACATCGCTGTAATCAATCTTTCCCCAAAAGCCCATTAAACGGAATCAGCGGTTAACACTAAAGACAGGAACTGTGCTCCGGTGAACGGGGAAATGGGTGCAATCAGACATTTGTTAGACTGATTTCCTAATGGGACACTCTGACGGAATGGCTGATGTACATTCAAGTGGTCCGCACTTAACTCCTGCTCTCTAACCTCATTGTTGAGGCCCAACATTTTATGGGGTGTGTCAAATATTGGCCCACTTGAACATACTTGGTCTTTGTGGTGTTTTATGTCACTGTAGAAATACCCTAACACAAAAATTCAGATTCAAGTCATTCGCTTATCTTATGGGGGTTTCTGCAACTTCAAGCATTTTTTTTCTGGTGGTTGATTTAATTAAAACTAATAGAATTGAGATTTTTACATTTTTGTTATATGAAGGTTAGGAACTTTATTTCTTTATGTTTGTATGTAGGTGTATATTATGGAAGCCTGTTTCTGCCACAGGATAATTTTTTTTTATATATATCTTACAAGTCAAACTTTTTTTCTTGCAATTCTGAGAATCATGGAATAAAACATTTAAAAGGTAATTGTGATTTTTTTTTTCAGTCTCGCAATTCAGAGATTACATCTTGCAAATCTGAGTTTTCTTCTCAGAATTGCAAGTTTACTATGTACTGTCTTTTTATTATGACTTTATATCTTGAAAAAAGTCAGAATTGTAATAATAATAATAATAATAATACAAATAGTTAATAAAGGTAACTGCATGTGACTTTTTATCTCACAATTCTGAGTCTATATATTACAAGTCTAACTTTAAAACTGTAAATAAATCTGAGTTTACATCTCACATTTCTGTTTTTCCCCCCACCATGGAATAATTAATAAAAAATTGAAAGAGTAATTATGACTTTTTAATCTCGCAATTCAGAGTTTACATCTCGCAATTATGAGATTTTTTTTCTCGCAATTCTGATTATTTTTCACACAATTCTGAGCTTATATCTCACAATTCCAACTTTTCTTTCTTTTGAAAGTTTACTGTGTGTCTTGTAATTCTGACTTTATATCCTGAAAAAAAGTAAAACTTGTAATATGTCAACTCTGAGTAGAAGAACATATTTGGTAGAAATGACATTTGATTGGGATTTTTGTAAATTTTCTTTTCATTATTTTTTAGAAAGAAAGAAAGAAAAACTTTTCTCCTGGATATTGATAGTGCTCATTGTTAAAGAAAAGTGATAGAAATGCATGCCTCTGAAACATTACCAACATCAACAGACAGACACCACAAGGTGGCGCTATACATAAACACAGGCCTGCTGCAAATCCACTGAACTTCCATATCTGAGTCACTTGACTTCAGATCAAGTAGATATCCTTTAATCACACGCCAACACTGCTTTGAAATGAACTCACAAAGTGTTCTTTATATATTTATTGGCTGCGTTTTTGTTTAGTATTAAATCTCCCCGAGGTTCAGAGGCAGATAGTGTCCTCATCAGAGTGATAGCGCTAGGGGAAATAACATCAGTCAGCAGGGGTCAATACCTTCAGCCCTGAGAGGAACTGTCTCACACACAGTGTCTCTAGTATTATAATAACCATGGTAATATATATTTGATATTACATTATTACGTGTGTGTGTTTGTGTGTATATATATATATATATATATATATACATAATTTTTATTTAGGATAAAAGCGTCTGCTAAATGACTATATGACTTATTATTGCTTATTATTATTATTATTATTATTACTTATTATTTATTATTTCTCATATCTGTATTGTAAATAAATAAATAAATTATATTTATACCATACAAAAGTATGGCAAAGTATGGAAGATTTTTAAGATAGTAAATTTGAAATTGAAGTTTAAAATAATAGAAAATGAATTTAAATTGTGGTAATGTTTCACAATATGTGTGTGACTTTTCAAAATCTCTCCAAACTTTTGAACAGTAGTATGTGTGTATAAATATAATGTATATATCATGAACTCATAGATATACACTCATTGTGAGAAAAAAGTCTAAATTCTGAGGAAAAAACAGTCACTATTATCTTTTTTTTTTTTGCTTTTTGTTTTGTTTTTTAATCCTGTGGCAGAAACAAGCTTGCATAATTTAAATAAAAAAAACATTAGTTGTATATACATTAAGAAAATAAAGTTATAACAACGTAAAAAAATGTTGAGTCAACTTAAAATAATTTGTTACCTCGCTGACTTAAAATTTTAAGTTTAGTCAACTCAAATAAGTTTAGTCAACTTAAAATGTTAAGTTGTACTAAGCAACAACTTAGATATTTTAGTTGACTAAACTACAAATTTTAAGGCAGCGAAGTAACAAATTATTTTATGTTGAAACAATTTTTTACAGTGAAATTAAAAATAGAAAATTAATATAAATTGTAGTATTATTTCACAATATTTCTGTGAAATCTTGGCCCCAATTTGTTATAATTGTGTGTGCAGTAAAATTTGCATCTTTACAATAAATGCTAAATTGATAATAAACAGTTGTTGAATAATTAATAAAAAATAATTGTCTTTTTAGGGCTGCATGTATATCTTGTATAGATATTGTATGGTGTCTGTCTCTTTCTAAAGCCTAATAACTATCTGTGTCATTTCCTCTTTGTATTTGTCCATTGTATTACTTTCACTCTCACTGCAGACTGAGGCCCACTTCTCTTATTTGTGACCCTGGACCACAAAACCAGTCATAAGGGTCAATTTTTCGAAATTGAGATTTATACATCATCTGAAAGCTGAATAAATAAGCTTTCCATTGATGTATGGTTTGTTAGGATAGGACAATATTTGGCCGAGATACAACTATTAGAAAATCTGGAATCTGAGGTTGCAAAAAAAATCTAAATATTGAGAAAATTGCCTTTAAAGTTGTCCAAATGAAGTTCTTAGTAATGCATATTACTAATCAAAAATTAAGTTTTGATATATTTACAGTAGGAAATTTACAAAATATCTTCATGGAACATGATCTTTACTTAATATCCTAATGATTTTTGGCATAAAAGAAAAATCAATAGTTTTGACCCATACAATGTATTTTTGGCTATTGCTACAAATATACCCCAGCGACTTAAGACTGGTTTTGTGGTCCAGGGTCACATTTATATTCCCTCTTCTTTATTCCACCTGGAATGGACTCCAGATGTTGTTCGGGGAGAGGAAGACACTGCTTGCTCGGCGATATGAGCTAGAAAAGAAAAGCAATGGGGGAATAGGAGGGAGTTCGCGAAAGTGAGCGCGAGAATGTTGGAAGGACATAAAAGTTTGTCTGGATGCCATTAAGTACAATTTGATGTAATGTGCAGTTTGGGACGTGACATTTTAAATGGAAACTGCGTACCAGATGAGGTTTGGGGGTGGGTCTTGGAGGTGGGGAGGGAACGTGCTCGAAACGTTATTTAAAGTGCAGGGTAAACAGACCTCGGTTGGAGGCGCCGCGGTGAGCGTTTGCCCGTTTCCGGAAGCAATTGGAATCGCCTTTCCCGCAGGCCCTCATTCCGCAGCGCCGTATCGAGTACAGCAATAACAAACGTGTGTTTGCACGATTTTAGCCAGAACACAGTGCCCCATTGTGCGAGCGGGCAGCACTCACACGTCTGAACCTGTGGCACGGGACACGAACGTCAACCTCAATTGAAAATCTCTTTCCGTTTACTCCGCAGTATTTTCAAAACGTGGCCTCGGCCTGTTTTTTAACATTTATATTCCCTCTTCTTTATTCCACCTGGAATGGACTCCAGATGTTGTTCGGGGAGAGGAAGACACTGCTTGCTCGGCGATATGAGCTAGAAAAGAAAAGCAATGGGGGAATAGGAGGGAGTTCGCGAAAGTGAGCGCGAGAATGTTGGAAGGACATAAAAGTTTGTCTGGATGCCATTAAGTACAATTTGATGTAATGTGCAGTTTGGGACGTGACATTTTAAATGGAAACTGCGTACCAGATGAGGAGGGTTTGGGGGTCTTGGAGGTGGGGAGGGAACGTGCTCGAAACGTTATTTAAAGTGCAGGGTAAACAGACCTCGGTTGGAGGCGCCGCGGTGAGCGTTTGCCCGTTTCCGGAAGCAATTGGAATCGCCTTTCCCGCAGGCCCTCATTCCGCAGCGCCGTATCGAGTACAGCAATAACAAACGTGTGTTTGCACGATTTTAGCCAGAACACAGTGCCCCATTGTGCGAGCGGGCAGCACTCACACGTCTGAACCTGTGGCACGGGACACGAACGTCAACCTCAATTGAAAATCTCTTTCCGTTTACTCCGCAGTATTTTCAAAACGTGGCCTCGGCCTGTTTTTTAAGCCAGCGCTACGGTTTCCTATTTCTCCGCTTCTTGTATATCAAAAGGGATCGGTTTTAAAATTAAAAGCTGCCGTTTTAAAATAAAACAACACTGGATTTTAGCTCTGCTGGAAGCAAAAGTTGACTTGCAGTACAGTATGAGTATCAAAGACCTGAGGAAATTAAGTCTTGCGTGTGTTGGGAATTTTACAGCATGACCCATAAACATCTCAGCGGTCCATATCTGGTTCCCTTTCCTCCTTTCCCAAGCTCTTTTTGAACATTTATGCTGATGGGAGTATTTTTTCCTCTATAGCAAATGCCTGATAAGAAGATTTGAGTAGCAACTGAACAGACACACATTGTTTTTATAATAAAGACAAACAGCATTTGCAAGAACTTTGGGCCCTTCAAAATAAGCCTTAATCCTTCGGATTCGGTCTCTGTGGTTTTCTTTTGGTTCGTTTGAAGGTTAACCTCAGCCAGTCTGTGTATACTGCATGACACATGGCCATCATCCACACATTTTGTCTTAGTGGGATCCGAGCGCTGAAATATAATTGCCTGCCGCTCACTTTTTGGCCCAGTTTTGGAGTCCACAGTTTGTTAAACAACTGGAGCATTTAAACCTATTTTTATCAATTCATAGTCCAGCAGTAGAGTAAACAGTAATTAGTAAGGGAGGATATAGTTTTGAAAAAAAGCTGATAACTTTAACAACAACCATTCCAAATAGGGAGCGTTAGTTTGTGCGGTTCAGTATGCTATTACATGTTTACAATATACTAACAAGGTAATAGGCAATGTGTAAGGCTCTGCTATAGTGGTTTTCATTTCCTCAGCCGTGCATTTATGAAGTGTTGACACAGCTGTAAGTATAAGTCAAATACTGGTTTCGTTGGAGAAATGCTTACAGTATGTGTAGATTGTGAAACCGTCCTACAGCTGCTTACTTAAGTCAGCAAGTTCTGTTGTATTTGTTCTGTCAGAACCATGAGAAACAAACTAAGAGGCAACTGTATATATCTATCATTCTTGATGATCTGTTTCCTGGATGTATTAAATTTCTCCTCTTTGGTTCTCAGACCCCATGCGCTCTGTACACATCACAGCCAAAGCCTCATTCAGGCTCCTATGGTCCAGTCGCACGCAAAGATCCAAGGAGGCACCAACAGCCGCAAGGACTGACCAGCTGGGTCATAGTGCCTGATATGTAGACAGCATTAATGACATGACTAATGCCAAGTCCAACCCGATATCTATTAGTAATATAAAGAGAGACAGAGAGAAAGAGTTTTTGTAGCTATTAAAGAAAAAAAAACAAATGCTGCCATTCCTGAGGGATTCTTACACTAGACATTCCTCACATGTTGGTCATATAATTCAAATATTTTCAAAGATGCTCTAGTTTTACATTAGTTATCCATTTTCATCTGATCTACCCCAGTGCTATTAAAAGTACACCAAAATTCACATCTAAAATGGAATGATTTTTCTTTTTGACTCGATTAATATTTTAATAATTGAACCTTTTTGCACTTTAAAGAACCTTTCATGGATTTTAAACCATCAATGCCAATTATGAACCTTTGTTTTTAAGAGTGTAGTTTAGTTGTCTAATACACCTGGCATTGTATATTACAAATGTTGTTAGCAATTTGACAAATTGCTGTTGTTGCTCTTTTGTAAGATGCTTTGGATCAGCTATTGTCTACGAAATGCATAAATGTAAAAGTACATGTATATCTATCTGAAAATATTGAGATACAGATTTAAAAACGACCTTATTGTGATTGTTTCTGTGGATATATTATTTTTATTTATTTATTTATTAGCCTACGCACTAAAGTAATTTTATTTTTTATTATTATTTTTCAAATTTTAATGTATTTGAGGACTTTCTCTGGATAATAGATTGTTGGTCTTTTCCTTTTTCTTTCCTTTAATTTATATTTCCTTTAATTTACATGCCATTTTAAAAGTTTGTAAATGTTTTTTACAAAAGTTTCTTATGCTCATCAAGACTGCATTTATTTGATGAAAAATACAGAAAGAAACAGTAACACTGTGAAATATGATTGCAATTTAAAATAAGCTTTTTTTAAATTTTAATATAGGCTACTTTAAAATATTATTTATTCCTGTGATGCAAAGTTGAATTTTCATCAGCTATTACTTCAGTCTTCATGATCCATATATCCATATATATATCAGTGGTGCTATTACTTATTTTTTTTAATTTTACCTTGAGTGCATAAATAGCAAAAATACCAAAATAAATTATACTTTATTAATGTAAATAGTTGTTGTATGAATGTTTTCCGTAAATGCAAATACACTGTTCATTTTATTACTATGATTAATTAGAGTAGCATAATCTGGATACTGTAATGTAAAATGTTAGTGTTACCATAAATAGACTGATATTGGTGGCATTAAATTGGCTGCGCTAGGACCGCGCGGCTCCGGGAGAGGAATGTGCGCACTGAGGCTGGAGCTGAACGTGAGTGTGACAGGATGGCAAAGGAAAAGCGCCAGAGTCCTGGAATTAAGATAGGGACCGTTATTCAAAGTCAGATTGCGACTGACACCACACGGACCCCGGAGCGCACCGGAGCCGCAGCGCGTCACTTTTGCTGATGCATGACTGGAAATTTTTGACAAGATAAATTGCATTCTTCTGTGAAATATTCCAGGAAAAAGTATGAAAAACAGCTGCTTTGAGGAATCGTAATTGCGGTGCGCTCAAAAGCACACGAGTAACAACTTCACGTTCCTTTAGAAAGGCGACAAAGTGACATTTCTGCGCGTCGCTCGTTTGCGCTCGTCACATGCGTAAAAGTTTTTTAAAGTGCTCCTTCGCTTTTATTTGGGACATGGAGGAAAGAAAATTCATGATGGAAATATGACATGATGGATATATTTTACTGCATCAGTGACAGGAGTCCTGTCATGTTTTAACAGAAGTGAGAGTGTTGCAGTCTAACGTGGTGATCTATCCATTCATACTTGGAAAGGAGTAACTGTGTTTCTCAGCATTGATACTTAAAAGTTATTATCAGCCAGAAACGCTTGTGCCCTGATGTCATGGGCTGACCTGGGACCGCGCAGCTGATAGTGTGCGGGACAATGTCGGGACCCTGCGTCCGCATCCCGTTTTGGGTTCGTGTGTTTCTCCTGCTGCTGCTTCACAGAGTCTCTGCAGGCTGTCCGGAGCTCCTTTCCAGCGGCTGCAGCTGCGCAGAGGACCGCGGTAAAGCTCACACTGCGCCCTGGGCGCGGAGGAAAGTGAGCTGCGTTGGGAAGGAGCTGACTGAAACGCCCGAAGTCAGTCTGCTTCCCAACAGGACCGTCTCTCTGTGAGTATTTCATTCATTTACTCTCTTAAGCAACACTTTGTCAATGATACAGCATACGTATTTCATGAAAACAACAAATTGGCTGCTCGACTACAATGATAGCCTATTACCAAGTCAATATAATTACATTAAACTCATGTTTGTGTTACATTTGTGACCCAAATCTTCACACATGGTTTGTGCAGTAAATGAAACCCGAGTTTGTAGTGGGATCTGGGATGTATGTTGTTGTTTGGGAATATAAACTTATAATCAAAATTCTCCAAAACACTAGTTTCAAGTAATTGATTTCAAACAAATCTTTGAAGATGCAGGACTTTAGCAAATGAGATTGCGTGATTGACTGATAGCACAATGATTTACAGTGATATGGCATTGATTAGGCAGTGTATGTCTAGCATCTACCGTAAAATCAGCAATTGTGAGAGCAACACTGGGCATAAAGATGTAAACTGGCATTACAAGACTGATAAAGACAAAGTTCTGACCCTTTATGGTGACTACAAGATCTTAATGGACAGCAGCTTTGAGCAGCTGTCAAAATGTAGCTCTATATGGGGAGTCCAGGGACAACTGTAACAGTTTTTACATTTCTCTTCACAACTCACTGATTAATACAAATATATGTCCATTTTTTGATATAAGAAACATTTACAGTAAAATTAATATTCTTACAATAAGAAAGACTTTTATTCAGACATTTAGATTAGTATTCGTTGGTTGGGGACAGGTGTAGCCCTGATTAAAATTGAATATAATCTAAAAACAAATGATTAAGCAACTGTACTGTCAAATAAGAGCACATCTAAGTGCAATAGAGTTGCTGTAATGCATTCATATTGCACTGATTCTTTAAAATGTCAATAATAGTTGTTTAAAGCACAACTGAGTATTTGATGAAATAATTACATTTTTAGTTGATTCATATGGTGTGTATTTCAGAACTAGTTATACAGTTGGCCAAGCTCACAGCCATAATACAATATTTTATGGTAACTACTGTACCAAGAACAGAGCATCTGTTTTTATGCACTGTTACAACTTTTGACCAACATCAACAATTAAAGTAAAGACATAGGTTGAGTTCAAAGGCATTAGAACATTAGACATAGAAAGAAAAAAATGGCTTTGAATATCTCACAAAGAGGACGATCACACACTACTTAGACACATTGTTTGCATACTGTACTACCAGCTCATTGCTCCTTTACATGTACTTTCCTTCAGCAAAAGATGAGAGATGAGGTGAGAATTATGATCAGACTGAAGCACTGAAGAGGAGCTTGTTGCAGAACTCAACGCTGACATATTGTCAAAGCCCTGTCATTTTACACATGCCTTTCATCCAAAAGCAAAGGAGATGTGCTTCTTGTACGCATCCCTCCCACCCAGTCCACACACACACACA